TGTGTGATGTTGAAAGCATACAGACTATAAAAACTGCAAAAACTAACTATGCCGTATGTCCGTATTTTTCTAGCCATTCCTTGTGTTCAGGAAGAAGCTCTGATGCCTCTACCCTACAGCCTTGTGAATGTAAACATTTTCAGACAATGAAATTCCGACTGGCGCCCTAAAAAAAGAATGTACTGTGAAAAACGTGCATCACCAAGTGGAATACCGACTCAATTGTTTGCTTTCCAATTTTTCCTTTAGATACAATATGGCTTTATTTTCACTGCTTCGAAATCTGTCATTAAACAAAAATTTCAACCTTTGGTTGAGTAAGTACCTAAATTAGAAGGTAGGTGCTTAGGTGATACAAAACATCCATTCATACCTTACTATCATAGATGCGGGACTATTCCGAATGTATTGATTAACTTTGACTTAAAGTCGGCGATGGTGAGCCTCGAAAGGCGCAGACGACACTGATACTTCGACCCGCTAAGGACAAGCTCATCTCGCATTCCGTGGTCGAAAAACCACTAAATGCGGGAGTTTACCAGCAATTACATTACATGAAATTACAAGAGGTAACCGACGTGTGCTTTCATAGTGAACGATTGAAAAACAAAAAAATATGAAGAAAATAGGGAACGGGAACCAGCAAAAGAAAAGAAGTGTGTTCGGTGAAACTTGCATCTTGAGAAATTAAAGATAAAAGGATTAGAAACATTCCCGACTTGTAATCTGTCTTCCGTGAGATCCTCCGACGCAATGTGTAGAGCATCGCTTACAGACTTCTCCGGAGTTATTAAGCGCATCACAGGTGTGAAACCTAAACGTAGCCGATATGGAGACGCTATCTTTCACAAAATGCTTATTTAAAGCCCCACCTTGCTCTCTGATAAAACACTCGGGATGTCGCAAGGAAATCTCTTCGTCCCCACAGACCCATACGCGACGATTTCCAATACGTTCTCCCCCAATGAGACACTTCGAGCACCCATGCGGTGATTCCCAACGCGGCAATCTGAACAGTGCTCTCTGCGCCTAAACATATATTATTTCTAGATCGTATCTAGTCACACAGTATTGATCTTGCTACTCACTCCCATGTCCGCCATGCCCCGATAAAGGCTCACGTGCACTGGCCAAAGCACGTCATTGACTTCTATCTGCAGAGGGTCTTCATGAAGACTCCTTAGCTCAGATTCTAATCTGTAAGCTGATTTCTAGAATTGCTCCGTCTGCAGTTATGAGCGCGAACCTTCCAAACAACGTTTCTAACATCTTCTGTGTAGGCTTCGACTGAGTGTATAACACGCCGCACAGTATGGAATTCGTGAATTTGTCGGCATCAGGTTGAGAGATGTTTTCGACCCTCAAGTAGAGCGGCCAAATTTCCCTTCTGTATCAGTAAGTACAACCACCATTAAACATACACCGCTGTAGATTTACCTACCTAGTCAACCCTTTTGGGACGAAACCATCCAAAGAAACGGTTAACAAAATCTTTAGTTGATTTTGCCGGAATTCGTTTTCTTTCTCAATCGACTGGTAGTAAGCATCGAATAATCTGACATCGCTGCGGTCATTTGTTTGTGCACCCAGAAAAAGGTGTTCACTCTATACAAAAAAGGTTGAAAGTAAAAATTACATGATTTTCATGTAGGATACGATGAAATTTGATAATGTCTGAAACCTTATTCTCCAATAGATCGCTCTTGTGAAATCATATTCAAAAGGTGTATCTCAATCCTTTGCACACTCTTGACCTTTTTAAGTGTGACCTGCACATGCCTACATGAACATGATGCCGCATATTAAAAAAAATTGGCCGATAAAGCTGGCAACTCTCGTTCTCGCACATCTCACGATATTCACTTAGATTGCTCTCGCATCCGGCGCAAAAGAACAGTCTTTTTCTTTCATACTGTTCTAATATCGATTTGGCAAAGGGCCGTACATGCTCCTCGTACTAAATACAAGTGTTATTCACGATGCAAGAAGAATAGGATTTGAACCTTGATGGCAGGAGAACATCCGTGTAGGATGCTCATTAAATTCTCCATCAGTTTGATCTCGGCCATGGAAAGATCGGATGGCATTGTTTAGCATAGAACTCGGTCATATACTGCTATAAATGAGGTTTGCTGAGTTTGTTACCCATCCCTCGCCCATAATAGAATATGTAACGTACGGATATCGTATTCAGACTCATTATCACCACCGTGGGATTCCAACTCGTCGTTGTCAGTGGAGCTGACACTAGTGTCCGCTAAACGCTCGTTCTCACCATAATCGCCTTCGATGCAGCCCACTATCAAAAGAATACGCAAAAACGAGGACAGAATGATTAAAGAACAAGGCGGAGTGTTGCTGTCCATGCATAAAAAGACTAACAAGCTCACTCGAAGGCAACGCTGCTGGCAACGAATGCACTGCTGATGGTGACTCGCTAAAATTCCTGTGCACGCTTTCTTCCTAGATAGTATCCGCAAATGATGTATGCTCTAGGCTACTTCTACAAGCCTCTCGTTGACCGTCACTAAAATATAAGCATGCGCAACTTGACAATGTATGTTACTGGAAAGTGCCTCACGTCTATACTGTCTTGCTCCTATGCCGTCGTACATTTTGCTTCTTGTATAAAGAAAAAGTAGAGGGCATTTGTCTCTGCAACGATTCTGATAAATGCGCAAGAAAATGTCAAAATTGGGATGTGGATCAATATAAACTTTGCTGATGGCATCATGATGCGATCCGGCCATCAGTACAGTATACTACAGAGCGCTTGGGGACCGCTTCAGGCAGAGTGCGGACAAGTTATATACGCGTAGGCAACGTTTAAAAAAAAGGATGGATGCCGATTGCATTGCGCATGCGGACGCAGCTCAGTGCTGACGGTGTAGGAAGCGGCCATACTATTCCAGTGATTCCTGCGATTCCAGCAATTCCTGTGAATCTGCGATCCCTAGACTTCCTATGCGCCGCAAAAACGCTGCGCTTTGTCATCT